TATATATATATATAATTTCTTACACAAGATGACATCTCTAAATATCTCGCATCTATCAAAAGGCGAGGCAAATATATCTTCATTAACGCGATTTTTTATTAAATTATCGTCACGCATACAACGTCGAAACTCACGAACACTGAAAAACAGAAAATCCGAAGATATCACGTTCGAACGTGGATGATATTACCTTGCGAGCGTAGATCGATAAATTCTTGTTTCGATTAAATTATTGTTTCGAAACAATGGAAGAACCGCAAATAACTATGATAAACAGTCGAGGTTGCACTAGGAGGATATACGTATCAGCTATAATAGCCACGAATAAACATATATTCCAAGCATTTCGATAATCACTTAACCTAACCTTCAAAATTTTTCACTCGGATTAATTTCCAACTCGTACAAGGTTATGTATAAATTTGTATCTCATACAATCGAGTACGTTCGCACTGTTCATCGATGTAATCGATTATTTCTCCCCGAATCGGTGGATGATCGCACGAATCGATCGATCATCCTTCCTTCTCGTATCATCATTCTCGGATCGCGCACACGCCACGCTCTTTCTGGAGGGCGACACCGGCGCCGATGCGACGCCGCTTTCCATCCTTTCCTCCTCCGTGTATCCGATACGACAGCCTTTGTCGAGGCCCCTCCCCACGCGATACATCTTCCAACTTCGCGACCGACCAACTTACACGTACCAACAACTCAGCTCACTGCCAGTTATGCTTTTGAAAGGCATGAATTGTTCCTCCGTCGAGCGAAATTGATGTTATCTCGAGGCACGCTTTGCAATTTACCACTATAGCAAATTGTTTATCTTCGATCTTTGGAGAGGTTGCCGCGTGGAGGGGCGACTTTGAAGAAAGGATTGTTTGATTCGGGGGCAAATTTGTTTTGACACGGGGCGGGGAATAGACGCGATAAAAGCGATTATTATTTCGGTCCTCGAGATGTTGAGGGGAGGGAATTAATTCCGATCAAGTTTAATTTTATGATACTTGAGGGGGGAGAATTTTTGCTCCGAGTAAAGTAATTGTTTGTACGCGTTAAATAAATCCGTGACTGCTTGATCTCCGCGTTTAGTGGAGATACGACGAAACTCGAGCGAGTTCCCTGATTTTTATCTCCATCAGCTGTGGGAAGCAGAGAGAAGAAAAGAAATATTCTTTCTCTAATTTTATGCAAACAAATAAAAATTATTTACAGATATTTTTAATAGTGAGTAAGAAGGAAATGATTACAGGATGATTAAACGTGAAATTTCTATTTTGTTATTAAAGAATAAAATAGTTATTGTTTGTGTTTTCCATAAAAATTATGTACTTTTAAATTTTCAAAATCTAGAAAAGATTACTAAATTTTTAATATGTTATAACAATCAATCTGAACTCATTCTAAAGGACCAAATCTTTATTTTCATATATCTGGATTGAATTTTCCTCATATGTTTTTTTGCAAAGTTCGAAATTGAAACTTTTTGATACGAATGTGTTAAACTATCGATCGAAGTAGTTTTTATATCACTTGTTTATTACGAAAAAGCTAGATGTAAGGATATATATTTTTTATTCATTGTAGATTCGCATTCGAGTAAAAATGAATTTTTAAACGAAACATATTAAAGTTTTAACATCCGCAATACTTTCTTTCGATAGAACTATCGGTTGTGGAATTATTGAACATCTTTCGCGTATAATGGATATATATATGAAATAACTTCAATTTCATTTTAATGATAAAATTTTTACTCTTAGAGATTATTTGTTGAATAAATGCGAAAGTAATGAAATATGGATTAGTCAAATTATTATAAAATGTGTTTTTTTTTTAATACAGCAAGTGCAATGAAATTCACTTTTGAAGAAACTTAAATTAATCATAGTTGTAAGTATTAATAATTAAATAGGATATTTACGTTAATAGAGATATGCAGATATCATTTTAATTTTTTTTTTTATTTATTTATTTATTAAGTGAGTGAGAAAATTAAAATTTTAAAGAGATGATATGTGTAATGGAATTTATATTTCAGTAGATTTCCATCCCATAAAAATAATACATTATATTCTACTTTACTTAAAATATGATAGATTTGTGACTTGAATCTATTGTTTATTCAATCAGAGATTCAAAACTTGAAATCTATTATATAAAATTTATTATAAAATTTATCCAAAAATGCAAGTAATTAATAATATTGATAAAAAAAACATTCCGTCAGAATAAATTTTTCTTCAAATTTTATAACTACATATAAAATAATCAATATTTTTTATTAATTATAATTAATTATAATTACTTATTTATTATTTCAAGAAAAAAAACGTGATGAAAATAAAAATTATATACTGCATTATCCTTACTTATATTCCATTCGAAATACAACATTGGATCTGGAACACAGATTTTCAATTATGATATTTAGATGAAACTTTCAGCTTTCTTCGAAATCAATTTTCATCTCAATTTTTATTTCAATATTTTCGAAAAAGTTATCGTGTGATAAAACAGATTGAACTCTTCTCGATCGATTTTTTGATTAAAAAATTAAGTATTATTATTATTTCATATAATTCATAAGTGAATGAACCGCGATTCGTTTATCTATTCCATTCAATATTGATTGATTTTATTTGTATTCTTAAATACGATGGAAATAGTAGGCGATATATAACTATGACGATTAAATCTCCAATATTTTCCAAGTATTAGGTATAGTTTTCCAATTTTCTGTTCCTTATTTCTTCCGTCTTCATTTCATTATTAATCATTTAATAGGAATTTAAATTATTTCCACATCTCATATGTAAATTATTAATAATTTAGAAATTCCACGATTATTAATAATTTAGATTTAGAGTTACGCATCGATAAATATCGCGAAATTTATTTACAATGTAACAATTACATTACAAATCTCCTTTTAACGAATACATTATATTTCTACTTATTTTTATATAAATTCCCATTTACATGAAAACTAGAATAATCAATAATTTGTAATTTCAGAAATTTTTTTAAAAATACCTCTCCTCCAAAATTTAAATTTTGAATTGTCCCATTATCAACGATCCCACGAGAATTCGTCGTTACGCAATGCAAGCACAAAATTTGCCGCGTATTTTTAAATCATCCTTAAATTCACTTGGCTGAAAACTTGCTCATTTTGAACATGTCTCGTAATTTATCCATTGGAGAGGAACAATTCATGTCCGATAACAGAAATATATACGAAAAAATGCGAGGAAAATATGTTTGTTAAACTGCATATCTATTTTTTAACGAAAGTTGATTTCTCTTCATTCTTTTCTTTAACGAGATACGTATTCTCATAATATAAATTTTACACAGTTATAATTATAATTGATTAAAAGATGATTTTGAAATCAATTTTAAAATTAATTCCTATCAACATTGATAATAACATTTCTATATCAGAATTTTGTCGTGAAAAAGAAAATACAGTAGACGTCTCGTTTCAACGTATTCTAAACTAATTACAAATTTATCCACTGCAGGGATTGGCACGATGTTGTGAAACGCGTTCGAGAAACAATTGCGATCCGTGTTCGATAACGGAAATGCATTTTTCAGCGTTAACAACGGGAAATTTTTACTCGAATGCTGTTTCGCCTAACTTTAAAATATTAAATTCAATATTCTGAAACATCGAATTGCGAACACTATATTTACCATTACCACACACGCGATACGGCTGATACGTTTATAGCATCAGACTTTCAAACTTTCGATATTTGTCGGTTTTTCGAAACTTTCCTTTTATCGAAGTGATTCGCCCCACGAATTGATATTTCCAGCAAGTGGCTGTTGCAAAATCGTTCCAGTTAACTTTTCCTTTATTTTCCCTTATTAAAGTGAATTCACAAAGACGAATCTGATAGATATTGGTAGAAATCAAAAACGTCGGAGGATCGAAAAGTAGAAATTTCAATCGACAAATCAATGAACTCGATCAAGAAAATTTAAACAGATTTTAAAACACGTAGGTCATTTTTCGATTCTCCGTGTTTTATTGCAGATGTGGCCACTCAGTGAGAGCAGCGCCACCTTCATCCGCAAAAGAGATATTCTAACAAATGCAAACAAATATCGACCGAGAATGTGACTGCGTTATAAATCACAATGGATTTGTTTAATCCTTTTTTAATTTTATAAAATTCCTTAATCCATAATTAGTAGTCTAATTTTTAGTTTTTAAACTTGGAACGTTTGATTTCTTCTCTTTTATTTTGGAGGGCGCTGCAGTATCTCTCGAGCCGCCATTTTTATTATCGCACGCTTCGACATTTTCAATAATACCGATCTTGGAAATTTTTCTTTTCTCTAATTTACTAAAATGAATATTTTATGACAATTGCCATAAATCGAATAAATAACAGAAATATCTTTGAATTAAAATTTAAGAATTGTTCGATTGTTTTATCACGTAAGCGAAATTGTTATATTATCTGTTAATCGTAATTTTTTACGATTGTTAAAATTTAATTGTTCTTAACTTAACACTCTTAAATCGAGAATTCAATAATCTAAAATTAATTAAGAAGAGAGTTAATAAAGTATTAAGCAATAAGAATATGTAAAAATATAATATTTGATGAAAATTTTTTATTTTATCCTTGCATCCCATACGATTTTAAAAATACAACCTTCTTGAAGAATTGTAGAGACGCAAGTTTTTGGAGAACATTATCCGTCAACGCGATTTAAAAAACTGCAAGCTTTTTGTTTGAAGGGCGGCAATTTTTTTTTTCTCATCTTTCTTTAATTACGCTGCTTCAAACCATGATTATGAAAATGTGAGGGAAAAAACGAAGGAGAGAAAAATCATGATTGTTAAAATTTTCTTGCAAAAACCCAAAAATATCATTCGATCGTCTTAATTTTCCAAATAATTTTCCTCCCTCTTATCCTTCTTATCCAACCTGATCTTTTTCCTTTTCCTTTCTTTCTCAAAATCGCCGACTCACCCTCACCGATAATTTATCTCGTTCAACGATTCAATTCCGTGAATATCACTTTGGAATGGAATTACACAGGTAAATGATTCTATAACGAATAACGGATAACGAGGATATCGATTTATTCCTGTCCAGGGAATACATTCTATTCCAATTCCAATAATAATATGCGTATATTTATACAAATAATCATTAGCAGATAAATATACAACTTGAATAATAACAAATAAAGTGCAAGTTTTGACCAAGTTTATTTATAACTAACCCCTTCCTCCTGTACAATGAATATATATCCAGGCATATGCAGGTAACGTGTTCTCCCTGTAACGCGTTAAAAAAGGGGAAGAGGTAGAATAGGATAAAATAAAAGGATATTTTTTCTGCTTTCTGCGGAAGATCAGAAGGCAAAAAAAAAAAAAAATTTAAACGCCGCTAAAAGTTTTTTAAGCGAAGCTTGGATTATTAGAAAACTTTTATGAAACTTCTTGGTTAAAAAAAAAGTAGAAGGAGAAGAGAGAACACCAATGAGAATAATTCCTCGTTTCGTCCAATAGATGGGGCGAAGTTCGTATTTTTAAAAACCGAAGCGAAAAAGAATGAATTTTAGACCGAAATTATAAAAAAATTGTAAATCGATCGATATTTCGTTTGTAAAGAAGAGAAACCGAGTCCGAAACTGATAAAATTAACGAAGTGTCATCGAGCGAAAGCAACGATGACATTTCGTTTTATCCGCCCGTTTTACTTTACCTCGCCTCTCCTTAATTATCCCAGAAAGCCCAATGGACGACATATCAGATAAATTTGACCTTTTTATTTCACTCAACTCTGTTTATCCATTTATCCAAATAATAGCATAGTACTATAAAGCAGTTTATAATTAAGTATGGGCGCAAAGAGGATAAAAGTAATTCGAGGCTTTCCAATGTTTTCAGTGAGATCATTATCGGTCAGAGGTGTGGAAATCCGATGGAAATTTTATCTCGGCCGCAATTGCAATTATAACTTCACTCGGATGCCGTATTGAAACTATAATAATTACAATAACGGCGAAACATTGGGATAAAATTCCTTGCTGAACCGGCAAGTCCTCGGTATTAATACGCATAATGAAGTTTAACTATGATTATCGGAACTCCTATTACACGTTCAATGCGAAGGTCGATCCAGTTAATCGAGCAGATGCGTGTATTTGAGCGATTTCCGTTTTAATGGATTAATTGTCGAAACTTCGATTGACTGAATTACTCGATTACCCTGATGGTGTTATCCGATATGATGAAAGTAAGGAAATATATTAAGTATTTATAAATAATTCTTAATGTGATATCGAGTGATAGTTTTGATTCTTATGTAAGTTTAATTATTATTGTTTTATCGGAATAAAAAATATTTAATATTTATCTGGTTATAATAAAATTTTGGTTAAAAATAATTTTATTTGGAGTAATTAATTAAAGAATAATTTGATACGTCTTTACACGAAGAATCTGAAAGGATCGATTGTGCGAATAAATTTGAGACAAATTGATGAAATGCTTATAAAAATGAAAAATAGAAAAGAAAAATAAGATAGAAGGAGTGAAGGTGAAATTGAATGATATCAAGTGGCCTCGAGTGATAGTTTATTCTTATGTAAGTTTAATTATTATTGTTTTATTGGAATAAAAAATATTTAATAGGAATATTTATCTATAAGTTATAATAAATCCTTTCTTTTCGAAATAAAAATAATTTTATTTGGAGTAATCGAAAATTAATTAAAGAATTTGATGCGAAGAATCTGAAAGGATCGATTGTGCGAATAAATTTGAGACAAGTTGATGAAATGCTTATAAAAATGAAAAATAAAAGAAAAGATCGAAGAAATAAAATATCAGAAATTGAATAAATAATGATGAGGTGTGTTGCATAATTGATAATGATATTGGATATTGGATATTGGATTGTGGAACAAGTAAATGAATGGAATTAATTTAATAAAAATAAAAATAATGTAAAAGAAAGGGAGGAAAAAAAAGGATTCAGTAGCAATTTTATTGCATGCTGAGGAAGCATGAGTGAAATAATAATAATGGAGAATAAGAAATGAGAATGAGAAATTAATATTGAACTGTTAAAACACGCTGTTAAATTTTGCTATCCGTTTAATATTGATATCCATAAACTGTTTCACAAATTTATTCGTGTCAAGTTTGCATTTAGATAACAAAGATTGATTTATTGTAATTATAAAAAAAAATATAATTAAATCTGTAATTTAGTAATCGATTAATTAAAAAACTTACGATTGAAGAAATAATTAATAATTGTAGAAAAATTGATATGATCGAAATCAATCGTGAATTTTTAATTAAAAAAATTAATCATCGTAAAATTGATTGATTAAGTTAAACTCGAAAAATTGACTCGATTTAATCGATTAATCTTTAAATTAATCGCTTCGAAGCTGTAAAAATGCGGTTAAAAAAATAATTTTTATTCTTAATTATTTATTCATATAAATACGAGCGTGTATTTTTTATTAAAATAGAGTATATAAGATTAACAAAATGGAATTTATTTATTTAACGAAGCGTGTAACGAACTCTTTTTAATACTCTTCGACACAAATTTCCCTTATCGACAATTATTATAAACCAAATAACAATAACGATTATCGACGACAAAAAATGTTCAGTCAATTACTTGTTTAATTAAAATCAATATTTTTTTAAACACGCGACTTTTTGAAAAATCTCCTTTACAATTATTCATTATCCTTAATTTAAATAATAAGATTATTTTTCTTAGTTCTTTTATCTATTCTCTATTAACATTTTTCATTCTTGATTATTATGAAACGATAAATTATTCTTTTTTTATGCAAATAATTTTATAAACTAAATTCATAAACCTTCAAATATCTTCATATCTTTACAATTTACAATTCGTATTTTCGTACAGAGTTTTCTATCTAATTTCCAATCCAAATTTGTTCAAAAAAAAAAAAGAATTCTTATTGTTAATAATTAAAATTTAATTCTTTTACATTTTTTTCTAATCCTTTTTAAACAATTTTTATTACCTATTCTTTATTTCAAAATACATAAATAAAAAAACTTGTTTCGAAATATGCAAATTTCTTCCCTCAACCATCACATTTTGTACAGAACCAACAGATATCCTAATCAAAACATTAACGAAAAATATCGAGTCGCTGTTCGTTGTTTTAGAATATTGGAAAAAAATGTTGCAGCACGTCATAATTCCATAAAACGCCGCTTTAAACGCCGAGGTTCGTTCTTCATAAATCTCTCGCGAGTGATTGCGTTTTCTTTTGCTGTCAAGTCAGTTTGCCGGAAGTCGAGGAACCGTTACAAAGGGAAAACGAGATCGAGGTAAATGAAACTGCGGGCAAAATGATGACACCGAATATCCGACTTTCACCACCACCCTCCCCCCTCCCCTTCTCCCCCCATCGACGACTGGAGGAAAAATTGGCGAAAAACCGGATAAAACGATCCGGGAATTTTCAAGGGGGATTGCTTTTACCCAACTGTTTGTAAACTGCCATAAACGAGGTACGAAGTCCAGATTTATGAAGCTCTCGTGAATGAAAGCAAACTCTAAGGGAAAGGGTCTCATCGGCTCTTTAGCCGAGAAATCGTTCGGATCCTTGAAAAATATCCGGTTAATTGGCATACCAATTTACCAATGCTCGTATATATATTTAACCTTTGAGGCGTACGTTTGAAGATTTATCTATTATTTCATTTCGTTCCATTTTGTATGTAAGAGATGTAAAGAGGATACACAGTGGAAATTATTTGGAGAAATAATTCGTATTTACGAATTAATATTTAAGAATTTATAGTTTTATAATTTCGTAATTAATGCATTGAAATAATTTATAATCGAAAATATTTTCTATCCATTATGATTTTTTGGTTTTGTCATTTGTGCCCGTATCAGAAATATATGACATTGATATAATTTGGATTTCTATTGAAGTGTAAGTGAATATTAATGTATTCACATCTTTAAATGAGTCAATCGTTTCTGAGTCAAAATAAATAGAAAAAATGGTATGTAAAAATATTGATTGAAGTTTATTTATTATTATAAACTAGAAATATAATTCAAGTTTGCAAGTTTAATGTAAAGTAGAAACAAAATGCAAAAAAACCTCACTTCAATTCTATTATAACTTGATAAGTAAGCCTCAACTAATATTTTTGTGCTTCTAGAATCATCACTTCAAATCATCCTATATACGAATATATGAACGCGTTAGAGTACAAAAGACTTTAGATAATTATATCATATATTATTTTTCGGGAAAATGTAATGTAAGTTTATTCAAAAATTTTACACTTGAACGATTCTTTTTTATGGAAGAAAAATTGGATTTTTAAATGGATAAAAAAACAATAATTATTCTTTGGTTTTATTAACCAAATAATAAAATAATTTTCACAGAATTAAAAAGATATCGAACTTTGTATTTAATTTTCATAAAAAATTGCCACTTTGCAAAATACTTTATTACTTTATCTTAAATTTTTTAAACAAATTTCTTCTATTCGTTTTTATATTTAAGCAACAATTTGTATTAAGGCAAAAATTTCTTATTTTCTATAAACGCTCTAACGTTTTTTACTTAAATATATTTAAATTTTTTTTATACTTTTTGTCCAATCGTGTATATTTATTCATAAAATTCGAAGTTATATTTTTTACACTTAAAAATCATATTAACGAATGGATCGAACGATTCGAATTTGCAAGAATAGCAAAAACATCGAATTTCTTCGAAGCATGAGTCTTGGAACGGGTGGAAACATTTTGAGAGCCGTGGAATTAATGAATTAATGTCGCCGGGAAACGGTGTCGACAGCGTTAAACGACACGATAAACTTTCAACGAAGGCTAAGAGCATTAAGTGCTCTCTTTTTATATCGATTAACATCGTTAGCGGTAAGCGTTGGTTATTTTCAAAGACGAAAGCTTGGTAATTGTCTATTGACACTTTTCACGATTGAAACAACAACGTTTTTCAAAGAAACGATCTATTTTTTTGATCTTTCATTCTCTTGCGAATCGAATAATAAGTTTCAGATTTCACGGATTTCTTTTTTTTTTTTTTCATTTATCACACTCCGTTTCTAGTGATCTAATAAAGAATAACGAATACGTATTTTTTATACGATACATTCCAGGAAATGAAAATTATATACGAAATAGGAACGAGTTTTTTTTTTAACGTTTATACTTTAGAAAAAGTATTCGCGATTCAGAGGCGAAGAATTTCTTGAAATATGTACAAACAGTTTCTTATTTTACGCTCAAAAAGGGTCGAACGCTTTGAAAGAACGTGTCTACAGAAATGAGGAATTTCAGAGACACGTTTATCAGATCTCTCTCTCCTCTCGTTTAACGCGTTTCTGCTTTTCGTGTATTTCGTGATATTTGTTTTCTAGATTCCCGCGTTTAAACATCTTTTAAATATCTTTCGATGAACTTCTAAAAAATTTACCTCCTCCACGGTTTCAATCAATCTCGAGTAATTAAGTTGTTGAGAACATTATTTTTTTATAGCTTTTTTTTCTGTTAAGCATATATGTATAACAATTTTATAAAAAGTTATTTAAATTTTCGCGTAAAGAATTATAAAAAGCTTTATTATTTATTTTCTACCAGGAATTATAATTTTTTGAAAAGATTTCAAAAATTCTTTTTGGTCCAATTTCAAAAATTCTTGTTCTATTTTAAAGAATGATCGAATATTTTTTAATCAAAGATTGTATTTTCTCATAAATATTTGTGATATTTAAAACGTGTCCAAGTTTGATACATGTATTACATTTTGCACACAACAATAATCTCGTGTAAAGCTAAGACAGATTGCAATGCGTAACAATTGTTCGTTAACATTTATGAAATACAGTAGAAGAAAGTGTGGAATTGCATAATGCCACACGAAGCCAAGAGAAAAATTGGTCATTGATTCGACGACTAAAAAGAGTAAAAAATTAAAATTTGTTCACTAATTATCGTTAAAATCGTTTAAAATTAAGTTTAATCGTTTTTTTTTTTTTTTTAGATATTGATTTAGTTTCTTTATCACTTTAAAAAAAAAATAATTTCAAAATATATCTTCCTGTATTATTTTCATTTTTACTTTTATACTTATTTTTCAAATTTTCTTTAACCGTATTATACGAAGGCAGTAGCGCAATTTTTAGTTCGTGAAAGTACCACATTGAACGATGCGCTACTGTACACAATTGCGTGTGAATATTCATTAGCGCTCGGTCATGAAGTTTTTCACGGAATTTATATTAAAATAAATAAATTCGAACGAATGTGAAATAAATTTATTGAAATAAATTGAAAAAGAATTATATTAATTTTCTTTTTTCAGAAGAATATATTTTATATTTTCTTTCAATTATTCCTTTTCGATCATTCTCTTTTATCATTTTAATATTTATACGAAACCAGAGATATTTTGGACTCGGGTCGGATCGGAAAACATCGGGCAAGATCGGAAAGTTCTCGAATATACGTATCTTTTCAGGATCCCAGCAAAGGTATCCGATTGTACATATATCGAGATCTCGAAAACGATTCGATTGCACGGATGTTTTATATTTTTACAATACAGCGTTTATGTATAATTTTACATGCAATTTGTATAATTTGTTATTATATTCTTTCTGCACTCCAAAAATTATTCCATTACACAAAGATCATCTTTTTTCACAAGATTTTAAGCTATAAAAAAATTGAATCGATGTCGAATAAAATGTACATCACCAATTGTAGATTTTTAAAAATTGCATAGCAGTTCCTATAAGTTTGACATTAGATATATTTGAAAAATTTTTTATTAAATTAACTTTATTTCTCAACAAAAAATTAAAAAGTTCGGATAGTATTAAAAGATAGTATTAAAAAAATACATATATATTTACGAAATAATTGAAAATTGATAAAAATATCATCTCATGTAATTCTGTTCAATAAAAGAAATAATAAAAAATTTTCTCGCCACTCGACGAACGAATTGTTTTTCACAGCAAGAAATATTATAATTTAAACCTAATCTGTTAAAAAGTTATTGGAAAATATAAAAGAAATTTGTCTTTCTTTTTATTTTCTTTTGTTCCTGTTGTCCAATTATATGTATATACTTTTGCGATCTAGATATGTTCGTGCGCAGTCGGGTATTTTCGGCATCTCGATATGTTTACATGCAATAAGATAGAAGCTCGCCCGATCTTGCCCGACTTCTGCCGACCTATAGTTCGGGAATCCCATAATTTCACAAATCCGCACATTCCTAAATTGAAATCTGATTTTACGAGAATCTGTTATAGGCAGCCACATTCTTGTCTGGGTCAACTAATAGAGATAAATAGAGCAATAGAGCAATTTATTGAAATATAATTATCCAAGATATAAGTTGCAATTTTTCGATTAATTGGTATAGGTTAGGTTAAACAAAAATGTGGCTGTCTATGCCAGAATCCAGAGAACATACATACATATAATAATAATACATAACGTGAAAAATAGTTTTATAATGATATTCTTGACAAAATATTTCCGGTAAGAAAGTAACATTTCGAGTTATTCAATTTATGCTTTTATAATAATTAGATTTCGTCACGTATGGAAGATTGTTAAAAACTTTATGAGGTGCGGAATTTTTAGAAACCTATTAACCTATATACTTAAAAAGACAAGTGTGACGTTCATATAAAAATTCTTCTTATATCGATCAGAATCGAATAATTATAAAATTAGATCCAGATATTTGGAGAGTATTAAAAAGGGAACCGATCGATGGAGCGTATCAAATGTTCTTTATGTTTTTCCATGCTCGCAAATAACTTATATTTTCAAACGTTTCGCGAGAAGAAGATTGACGGTAAGAGAAATCATATTAAAAGTCGTAAAGATTAAAATTTTTTCGTGTATCCGTTTTTCAATCGAAATTGCACTCAATATTTTCGATTTATCCTTGCTCTTAGAGCAATCTCCATACACAATTATTTTATCATTATTCAGTCGAGATTCAATTTTTAAACTCGATTTTCCTTAAAAGCGAGACTTTAAATTGAAAAAAATTTATTTTTTCATTTATTTCACATTTTAACATCATAATATTATTGTATCACGTTTCCTATAGAATTCTATATAAATTCATTACGTTATATAATGTATCGGTGTATATTTTCTATTACATAAATGTAAAACGAAATTATTATACATTATTATTCGACACAAAAGTGTCTCCATACTTTCAAGATTAAGTCCCAAAATTAATTAATCGAATTAATTTTTGAAATATCTTATATCTCTAATTGTATCTCAAAGGGAAAAGAATTTTTCAAATATATTAATAATCTTTGAAATTAAACCAAACGAATATATTAGATTAAAGAGAATGTTTAAAAAAACACTATTTTCTTCTTAATTTTTTTTTTTAAGAATTTAAGGTATTTATGGATCAACCAATTTGTTAAAATTTAAAAATAAAATCTTACGTTATTGCATGCTTATATTTATTTTATCCTTTTCCTATCTTTGTTTAAGCACGAAATTCTGTCACTTTCTTTTTTTTTTTAAATCTTTTGCAAAAACTACATAAATGCATGCAGGCTGTCACGTTGATTGCGCAAATTGAAAAATTCACACAACAATTAATTTGCTTCAACAGAGAGAAAGAATAGAAAAATACATTAGTATCTTTATTCTTAAACATTAAAACATTCGTCGCGCCTTGTAAATTTAATCATCGTCATCGATACGATACGATATAATTGTAACCTAATCACGAAGCTATGAATAATCCTTTGTTCCTAATTCCTTCTATAAATCTCTCTACCTTAAGATTTTTAAAAAAAAAATCTTTCTCCTCCCATCTCTTCAAGAGCGTATTCAAAAACCACGATTTAAACCACGATTGTCGTAATTTTAACTTCCTCCCTCGTCCATTCGCTGTTGACACGTTTCACTGTCAATGCGGGAAGACCGAAAGCAACGCGACGATATCAGATCGATCCTCGATATTTTTCCACCAACTCGTATATATACACGGATAAATTGATTTTACATTCTGTGCACAGATAGGTTTTTCGTTAATATTTAAACCGTGCTGAATGTAATAAATATGGGTACAATGGAAATAAATTAAACGAGTAAGATTCAGGGGTTAATTTGAATGCATGAATCGTGCGATGAAATTGTTCACACGAAAATATTCCGTAAAGCCTAATGATTCCGTAAATAAAACGTTCAATCGAATATCTACATTCGCCAGAATTTTCCTTTCATTCGAGTTTTCATTCGTTATTGTTCTATTTCACTGTTTCAAGTCGAATTATCGATCGAATCTCGAGGGTGTAATTCTACATGATTCAATCTCGATTTCGTATACAAATCTTACGTTGAACTCGTATTGTTTGCCATATTTATGGATGCATATATGTATCGAATATATATATTATTTGCAGGGGCAGAAATTGTTAGCAAAAATAGCAAATAATACGAAATTCATTAAAAATAAAATCTGCATGTTACGATGTTACATAAATATCGAATGCAACATACAATTGTTAAAGGGTTTTTGGTCAATCAATCTGGTGTGAAGTAAATAAAAAATGCATAATTAAAATTTTTTTTTTATTGACGAGAAATTAATGAAAAAGTAATATATTTAATTGGACGTACATTCGATAACTTTTAATATTAACGCATAGAAAAATATAGAATGATACAAGAAGAATATTATTTTAAAAAATAATATTTATTTCTTGTTGAATTGACAATTATGATTATATGTTATATTCTTTTTCCATTTTAATTTGATTAATTTCTTTCAATTACAATTTTATTTTCTTTCATAAGCTATTCATAAGCTTGAATTATTATTCTTTTTTTTTTTTTTTTTGCATTTACGTCATATGAAATTGATTTAACATTCTTACGAATTTTATTATAAATTTATATATTTTAATATTTTACATATACAAATTTATGATATTTTTAAAGAATTTCGTATTGCAAAATACGTGACAATTCTCAAAAATGTAATATTTGAAAAAGTAGGCAGATTGGAAATGAATTTTTTCGTTAGAATCAATATAATTTTGACAATAATACATCACAAAATCATTTAAATTTTAATTTTTTCTGTTTGAATTATCGAAGCTCGATTATTCGTGTATACAATATAATTATATACACGAAGAAATTCGAGAAAAATATATTTGTTAAATTAATTTAATGCTATTTGTTACGTTACGTTGTATCTATTTTTAACGAAAGTTGATTTTAATTTCTTTTCATTCTTTTGTTGATGTTGCTTTTATATGCAATAACAATATTGACATCAACTTTAATAATATTTCTATATCAGAATTTGTGGTAAAAGAAAATACGTAGATTTTCATTTTAACAATTAAAACAATTTTTTGAATAAGAATAATTGTATAAACTAATTATAAATTACGAAATATTTCATCTCGTTCATCTAAAAAAAAAAAAAAAAAATCTATCGTTCGAAATTTTAATTCTTTCGTCAGCAATTATTGACACCAAATTGATTGTTATATAATATAAAAAAGAATAATTTACTGCATTAACAGTGTAATCGTAAAAGCTTTCATATAAAAAATAATTTGTTTAATTTATCACGTAATCATATAAAAAGTATTTTATTCATCATCGATATATAACAGCCATGCTGCTTGTCAAAGAACTGCAATTTCTTTCCGTTTAAATTGTTTTGCGAGAGAACGAAATAGAGTTATGACAACTTGACAGTTGAATATAAAGGAATGCATTAAAGTATTCCAATTCATTTTACAAAGTTTGTATTTCAACGAAAGTGTGCAGTTTGACATTACTTTTCTGGATTATACTTTCATTTTCATCGAAATGATCATTATAGATCGTTTCAAACGGAAAGAAAATTCGTTTTTTCAAAGTTTTAAGAAAATCGTAGGAAAGTAACAAACTTCGATCAAAAATAATTTTCACAGTGATAATGATGATAATGATGATATTAATTATTTCTTCTACAAAATAATACAATCTATTTGCTTCCAAAGTTATGTAATAAAATTACAATATATTGTAATATATTGTACATCGTATTCCGAATATATCGATCGATTGTTAATCGTGAAACGACGAAATTCACTCTCAAAGTTTCAACATTCTTTCACAATTCTAATCTTGGAAGTATCTTTTACAATAAGCTAATACCGGAATATCAAAATCTAAACAAATATTACTAAACCTTCTAAAAAAGTATCAAAACTTTAAGAATCCATATTTATATATGAACTAATCTCGACATTAAACATAATATAATACCGTTATATTGAAAACGAGCACTAAAGTATGCTATCTCTAACATTCCGAAAAATTACGTACGTAAAAATAAAACCTTTCGAAACTACTTATTAGTCTTACCTCCGTGTCGTTCCACCACATGTGCAGCCGATAGTTCCTGAGGACGATCCGATCCTCGTTGATATGATCGACGGCGAGCTTGACCGAGGGCATTACGCCGCGGCCGATGTGGCTCTCGGGCACGTGGGGTCCGAAGGGAAAAATCCAGCGATGTATACGTCCTTTTCCTCGCTCCGCCCAGATTTATCGGCCTTTGACCGGCACAATCCCTCATCCCATCGATCCAGAAAACGAAGGCGCAGAAGTAAGCGGCCGTCAAAATGCCGGGCAAGTATCGCCGTTGGACGAACGTCTCCCCTCCAACAACCATCCTGGCGGCCTCTATCCGAAACACTTTCTCGACTGTTCTTCTTCTTTCTCTTCGTCACTTTTTAATTATGGCTTTATTATTAAACCCGGCCTCGAGCTCGGGCTAATCTCTCGCCCCGAACGGTGACTATCTCATTGCGCGCATTTGAAAGCGTTTGACTCCTCCTCCCCCTTAAATTTAATTGCGAATCGAGAGGCAAGTTAATTGACTGTATCGAGTCGACGCGAGGTACACGCTTCACTTCGCCCCCCGCGCTGCCCCATCCTCCAATCGTTCCTTCTTATGCGTACGCAACGTCGAGACCGAGTTGATCGAGAACCTTCGCGCGGATAGGAAGGTGTTGTGATCGGGCGATCTCATTCTCGGTTATTATCCGGACACAAGAGAGCAGGGAAACGAATAACGAGCTCATCGACGCGAACTGAGCATCCATCCCTCCCGGTTACCATTCGAGGGACGTTCCTTTAACGTTGTTCGAACGTTCCACGCATTCCGTTTTCTCGTCAACTGTTGTTGCTCGCGCCGTGGTTGCTGCTCGCGATACCGGTGGTGGCGCTGGTGGCGGTGCCGCCATGATCGTTGCTTCCGCGCTTCTGGCTCCATCTTTTTCGTTTTCGCTCGACGTGAAATCCTTACCGAGGCAAGAAGGGTGACCGCGTTAAGCGTGTTAACCGAGTCTTGGTAGGCTTAGTAGGCTTCTTGGTGGCGAGAGAGAAAAATAAAGTAACTCGTCGCTGGCTATTATTAGGGAATTAAATAGACGAGTCGCGGCAGACTCGTTCGTTTTAATCGATCTCGTCAAAAATTACGAAAGTGATTTGTCGATTTTCTCTTTCGCGTAATTGGGGTAATTGTCATCGTCCGTCATCGTTGAATCCATTGTTGAGTGAAACGCTGCTTGTCAGGAAATCGCGTACCGGATCTGTAACAGAAATTTATTTATAACGTTTTTAAAAGTTAAAAGTTAAGATGTATGTATAAATTTTGAGTAAAATGGAGTGTGTAACGAAAAATTAGAAGAATTCTTGACAAAGAAAATGAAAAATTTTTATTTTAGAAGAAAAATAAAGGAAGGAAGGTAAGTAAATGTTGGAAAATTATAAAATTTGAATTGAAGATTATTAATGGGATCATAAAATATTTTGATCATTTTCTATAAAAAAAAAAAGTTATTAATTTAGAAAATATTTCAATTTTTTTAATTCCTTGCAAAATTTGAATTATGAAAGACAACGAGGCTTCAAAAGTCGTAGATAATTTTAAAAAACAAACTCAAACATGTATAAACTTCACGTTCAACAACCAGGTAAGTCTCCATTACCAGTCGAAGTCGAGCGTGGTCTCAGTTATACAGAATGTGCTTTCTGTGTGCCAAATACGAAATAAGAAGCAAGAATTGAACAAAGACGCAATTGGCCATTATCCAAATTAAATAAGAAGTGATGATGAGGATGTAAGTGGATTATTATTGTTAAAGATTAATAAATTATATTAATTTCTATCTTATTCCTCTAAATGTATCTACAATTTTTTTCTAGAAATGATCAGCTGTTCATCAAAGGATGCAGATCAAAATGCAGTAAAAAAATTATATCAGTGAATATTTAATTTAATTTAAATTTGATAAAATTTATCGTTTACGATTTATAAAAAAATTTTTTCTATTAAATTACTTTTTTCTCGAACATTTTTTAAAAGTAATTTTTATGCATTAAATATTTGTATATAATTATAAATTATATGAAAAATTTGTTATTTTACAAATATTATTTTTTTTTTTCAGTATACACGAGTCCATTGGCATTCGACGTGGAATAAATATAGAATTTATTACAAAATATTCATTTGCCAAGAAACAATTTTTCTGTACATACATATATTCTTCAATTTTTTTTAAACATTATGATTCATCATTGAAAGTAGAATCCACAATGTTTTTTTAATTTTTCGTCGTTATTATTATATTATTCAAACATTATTCTATCAAGCTTTCATCTTTATTATATCATATTACTGTACTAACACTTTGTCGACCGAGCACGCCAATTGGCTATTAGTCCTACGTGATACAATTATATCTTATTTTCTTAAAATGCTTTCAATAACAGAATTTTATTCGCAAAAACATTCGAAAGTGTTAATTTTATATTCTTTTATTATATTGTTATATACATTGAATAAAATAATATAAGAATTTTTGTAATTGTACGTATATATCTCATTACAATGTCTCTAATCATAATATATACATAAAATGTTAATATATTCGTAGAAAGATTAACTTTAAGCAAAGAAAAAAGTTGGCATATTGAATTGAAACTTAAAGTTGCTTGACATTTTAACATCATTAAATTTAAAATATTTATCTTTTATTTCCATCCTATAAATATCTTATTTTATAATATTTCCCAGATAATGTAGAAAATATTTAATATTTATACTTTAGAAGATGTATAATAAATGCAATTTTTCTAGCATTTAGATATATGTTTTATTATTCGTAACTTGTTCAAAAGAAATATAAACTGATGTTCCATTTTTCTATTTTTCTCTCCTACATTTTCTTTATTTCAATATGATGTTACCAATATCTATTAACGTAACAACAAGTATTTGACGAGGAAAATGATTCTATTATAACTGAAACGTACCATTCCTTCCATTCCCATTCATTTCCAGTCTAGTTTTCAGCATCCACGAAGTGAATACCAAACTCCAAGGATTCTCAATTATTATTAAATCCAATGTAATCCTTATATATTCAAAAATATTGGCAAATATTATACAATTGAATGACGTTTCGCCATTTCTCAGTTTCAAGAAGAAATGATCGCTATGGAACTTTAAAAATTCCTTTTTATCTTAATCCATTCACAAGATGTAAGCCACACGCTTAGCCAGTCTTTTTCTTTCAAATATTAGAGAAAAATGTTTAACTGTTTCTCATAACCAACATAATGTATAAACTTTTTGCAATATTTTTGTGTCTTAAAAATTTAAAACTCTTCATAATGAATGAAGATAAACTAAAATTTGTATTGAAAGTTACAAGAACAAAAAATAATATTCCAATTCGATTTTCGATCTTTGTTTCTTTCTTTTTCTTTTCTTGAATTTAAAAAAATTTAAATATCTTACAATTCCCCCGATTTCCTACAAATCCTGATCATCGAACGGAGATCGTTAATTACTAATGAAACTTAGATATCGAGACGGAGAGAATCCGTTTGAACGTTTATCACGCTCTCTGTATTTTCAGATCTATCCATATTTTGCCTCTCGAGAGAATACTCGATGGAAGTTGCCGTACTAATTCCAATATGAAACAACTGGTTTCCAGATTGCAATCATGCCAGATGGAATAGTAGTAAAGTTAACATTGAGACTGTAAGCCAAACATTTTCCACTCGTCATTCATGTAAATTTATTCAAATATCAGATTTGTACAACCTAAAGACATCCTCTCTCTCTCTCTCTCTTTTCTATCTCTTTTAATCAACAAAGATAAGCAGGAATTTGAAAGAAGAAAGAAGATACACATGATTTTTCTACAATTGAAATTAATTTTTAATTTTAAATAAAAGATAGATTCAAAATTAGGAGGAAGGCAGTCCAACTGCTCTGAATAGTTAAAAAATAAATCATTCTAATTGTGTAGATCTCGAAATTGATGTCCATGCAAAAATAACAAAAATATTGATTTATCATTTACTATTTTTAAATATTAATTAATTAAATATTTATTTATAATATGCATAAAAGGAGTACTAGGATTATTCGTATCTATCAATTCACAATCGACAGAATTTTTATTTAATAGAAATTACGAAATTTCTATTAAATAGTTTGATTTATAATTTCTTTCAAGCAATGATCATTCGTCATCTATAATCTCTTATATAATACCGTGATCATTTTTAACGAAAAAACACTGGCGACGATTAAAAAAATTGCTGGTGAAAATTATTGAGGAGGGTGTCCTTGACAACAAATGTTACGAATCCCGTTTGATTTCAAAGCGAGTAAAAACGCGTTCCATCGCGTTCAAAGGAACGTTTAATCAGCATGGAAATGTTTAATTCGAACTGCCGAATCGAAATTATATTAGCATAATTGGCACGCCGAATTTTTGAAATTCGTGAAATTCGCGGCGAGAGAAATAAATAAAATCGATAATGCAAGAAAAGATTATTATTATCAAAACCCGCGTTTCGTCCGTGTAAAGAAATCCACTCTCTAATGAAGTTCTTTCATTAAAGCTAAGTGGTAATATTCGGAACACCGCGAACGCCTGCGTCTGACCAGCCATACAGCGATACTACTTACCACGATGAAATACCGATGTTGTATGGCCATCTCTGCTCACTGTCCATCCCTGTTTATCACTCGAGCTTTAACTTTCATTAAACGAGATTATTTTATTTCGTATCGACGTCTAAAATTTATTCCAACAGTTTAAATACTCGGTATTGTTAATTAGAAATGGTGAATAATTTTTAAT